GTGTGTGTGTGTGTGTGTCACCGGTTTGGCTAGTTTCAGGACAAAAACACAACTCAATAACATAACATCATAAAATAATGAATGACAGTGCACAGGCCCGCTCCCATTGTATCCATTCAACTAAAGCTCAAGTGTAGCTGAACTGTGTGATACACCTGAGTCCTCTTCTGATAACTCCATGCTAATCTCTGCAAATATAACTTCATCATCCGCCTCTTTAAATCATAGTTTGATTAACTTGGACAGACAAAGACTGTGGAGGCCAAGCGGCAAAACAAGTCCCATAATCTGGACAGGATACAGTGAAGGACACACAGGCTGTCCTTCCAGCTCCACCTGCATCAGGGCAAGACTAGCCAAACAAAAAGCCTTTGTTCTCTGTGGACTATTCCACTTGCATAGTAAAGTCCACCTGAAAACTATAATGGAGGCAAAATAAATGGCCCCTCCCAATATGTAGGGCAAGCCACAGAGACGCTTTCACCGACTGTCAGCGTTGTCTTCAAAGGCTTCCCTTTTTAAACTTTGAACAGGAAAGTGAATTTATCTAACCTTGTACGGGCGAGGAGACATCCAACAGGCGTACCTTGCCTGTAAACTTCAAACACAGCACTTGCCTCAGACTGTCACGCTGTGTTTAGCGCTGTTAGCTGTTAACTCCATTTCTGTTTTACCTCCCCCCAATGTGCAACACATTATCAGGCAGAAAACTATGCTTTTATCTGTGGTCTGCTAATGGGACGGCATAGGAAGTAGAAATGCTGTAAAATGTCCTCTTGCTCATCACTCTGCAGCAGATATACAAGGATATAGCTCATTGTGAGATTGTATGCATAAGTTATTTTTGAAAAAGCTCAGCCAGAAAACATGGCATGAAGTCTTAGGGTTGTAAAGTTTGTCATGGAGTCGACATATGAGCTGCTAGTGTTGCATCTTGTTCCAGACAAATGAGTCAGAGGTGGTACCCTAAAAGGGAATCTCAGATCTTGTAAAGACATCAAATATTGACACACATTGTATGCTTTTCACAAAGCACTCCACATTAGTAGTCCCCAAGGTCCAAATGTATTGCACGCCTCGTAACATCAGGGATAAAGGAAAACTATTGAGAAATTCATTTAAAAATAAAGACAAAATGTAAGTTTGCAGTCCCTTCATGCCACACACATAAAGACAATTCAAATGATAGTAGAATAAACATATCAAATAAAAATAAAATACAGATAGCAACTCTTGTACCATGGTTCTCATATCTAATAAAGTCCACATTTAAACCCAGTCTAATGTGAATATGCAGTACATTAGTCTTTGGCTGAGTTTTTCCTCTATACGCAACAAGGTATGATTGCACCAAACAAACCTATGTTTGTTTTCTTTGCACTTTATATTTTTTATAATATTGCTTGACATGATGCAGAATTTAAATTGAATCATGGTATAAGTTATGGTAAGTGCTGTTATATTAATTGGTAATAGCTGCATAGTTATGGTTATAGTAATAATGGCATATTGCTGGTAATGTTTGAATACCTGAGTGATGACGCCTAATGCTCCTGTTGACAGCTTTGCACAGTAGCTGCCCGAGCTACAGTGAAATGGCTGCAGAATAGCCGAATGAAAATATTACAGACAATCTGAAATAATTAACTCCTTGTAATTAATTTAATACGGTCCACTGCAACAAACCTGGGAACTCTATAAAGAGTCGCATATTAAATTTCAGTTTAGGTATTGATTCAGCTCTATGCAGGCTGTGTGTTGCCTTATTGTTGAAATTGAATTTCAGTATTCTCAAAGGTGTTCCTAACCTTTGTGTAAACCTTGGGTGACATATTGAGAGGGGGGGCAAGCGTGGCAGCAGTAAGAAACCCACAAAGTGCATAAATAGATGGTTCCAAATGTATATGGCCGTATATGTTTAAAGACACAGCCTAAAGGCAGAGGTGCTTTGGTGGCAAGAAGATTAGTACTTTGTCTA